AAAAAAAAAAAAAAAAAAAAAAAAAAAAAAGAATAACAGTCATGAGAAAAAAAAAGTTAAAATTAATATCACAAAACTCAGGTAGATAGACATAGTGCACCGCTAATAGCTAACATTCTCCCAATATTACTAAACCATAAATTTAATTGCATATTTGTTTCAGCAATCTTATAACATAGTAAGAAACAAGAGTTAAAAAAAAATAAGACATAGTAATAGTTTTTGCCAGTTGCCAAATGACTTGTCAGTGATATCCCACAATTAAAATGGCTGATTTTATGCTTTTAAAAGAAACAAGTATGTCAAAACAAAAGTTGTAATTCTGATCAAACTCAGTGAATAAAAGACTTATTTTTTAATTTTATTTATTTATTTTTTTGGTACTGGGGATAGAACTCGGGTCTTTGCATTTGTGAGGCTGGCAGCAGAACCACTGAGCTAAATCCCCAGCCCTAATAGACTTATTTTTAAGTGTAATTTTTCGTCTCTTCAACTCTCACAAAAAGAAAGAAAAAGATTGATTGTCTGTGTATGTGCATTTGAGTGTCCATTCAAATATTGTTTCAATTTAATGGGTTCATATGCACTAAAAGCATATTATAAGCACTGTGACTTGTGTTTGTACTGAGTATGTGAAGAACTATTTGTTGAATTTTTAAGATGTGATATTTGATTTTCAACTTACCCTCAGAAATATTTAGGAAATTAGATAGAGTCACTTTTCAAAGCTAGTACTACAGTTGGGATAGTATTTTCTTATTGTGTGAATAATGTTAGGGAAATGAAAATCAAGCCACAATAAAATATTACCTCCCCCTTGTAAGAGTGGATATTATGACAAAGACAATAATGTACTGATGTGGCTTTGATGAAAAGAAAACCTTGTACATTCCTTGATTGGAATGTAAATTATTGCTGTCATTATGGAAAACAGTATAGATTCCTCAAAATATTAAAATAGAGCCACTGTATAATCCAGCAATCTTACTACTAGGTATACATTCAGGCAAAAGAAAACCAGTTCAAATTAGAGGCATCTACCACTCCCGTGTTTATTGCAGCTCTAGTCACAAGAGCTAGGAAATGCAAATAATCTAGGTGTCAAGTGAAAAATGGATAAAGAAAATGTGACACATATATGTAATATATTATTCAACATAGAAAAGAATTGGATTCCAGTATGTTTAGCAACATGAATGGAAGTGAAAATCATTATATTACATAAAATAAGCCAGGCACAGAAAGACAACTATTGCATTATCTTATTCAAATATAAAATATTAAAAAGTAGATTTTACAGAAATTTGGAGCAGAATGGAGGCTACTAGAGGTGAAACTAGAGAATAAGAAGAAAGGGGAATTGGGAAACTGTTGAGCAGTGGGTTCTAAGTCACATTTAAATAGAAGCAAAACTTTCTGATGTGCTATTGCAAGGTAGCATTAACTATAGATAATAATAACATTACACGTATAGTTTTTTGAATAAGAAGAAATAATTTTGAATCTTGTCACCATAAAATATGATAACTGTTTGAGGAAATAAGTGTGTTTAGCCTGATTTAAATAGTACACAGTATACATATGTATCAAAAAATCACATCACATGACACCTTATCAGTATGTGTAATTTTTGTTTTTGTATGTCAATTAAGAATGAGTTCAGTTTTTAAAATAAAGTACATGGAAACTATTTCCTAGGAAATTTATCTCTCCATTTCTGAAGGATAGATTTGCTGGGTACAGTGTTCTTGATTGGCAGTTTTGTTTTATTTTCAACCATGAATCTATAATTCCATTTTATCTTGCCTGTAATATTTCTACTCATAAATCTACTTATGAGTGATTTTGTTCTTCCTTTCATGTTATTTAGTTCTTTTTTCTTGCTGCTTTTAGGATCCTCTTTACATTTTATCACTGATACTTTGATTATAATATATCAAGGTTTGGTGACTCTGATTAGAAACATGTTTCTGTCTCTTTCTGTTTCTGGATATTTATATCATTATTCTAGTTTATAAAGTTTTCCATTATCATTTTGTTACCTCTCTATACTCCCTGGTGAATACTAATAATTCATATATGTCTTCTTTTTCTGTTATCCCATAAATTGTATGAGCTGATTTTATTTTATCATTTTTTTCTACCCCCTGTATTTGCAACTTACATTAAAGATGTAGAATCTTTCTTCTGCTTGATCAATTCAACTATTGATGTTCTCTATTGCATTTTCATTTTGTCCATTTATTTCAATTTAATTTTATTTAAATTTAATTTGATTTATTTCAATTTAATTTTAAATATTTTGATCTCTGTTCAATTTCTCTAATAAATTTCTGAATTGGCTCTCTGCAATTTCTTGAGTCACTGACATTCCCTAAAACTAATGTTTTGAATTATTTGTCAAGCAGTTCATACAATGCCATCTATTTCAGTCATTAACACCTCGTTTTATCTTTCTGGTAATATTGTGATTCCCTGGTTGTTCTTAATTCTTATGTTCATGATGTATTACTAATAAGAGATCATTTATTTCAGGATTTGCAGCCTGGCTAGTCTGGGAACATCTTATAACAGTAAGTCTGTCCACTACTGGGTAGACCCTGTGGTGTGATTCCTAATCCCATAAACAGCACAGCCATTGTCGCAGGAATGGTTAACCTAAGCTCAGGTTTGTCTCAGATGATGCAGCCTAGGCTGTAATCTTATGGCCTCCAAGGCTACATCGGTGCCAGAATGCAAATGTGTGGCTATGTGTTGGTACAACTGCCATGGTCTTCATCCAGGAGGCTTGTCAAAAATCCAGGGTCACAGCAGTAACCCAGAGGTTTTATTGACCAGAACATGAGTCCCACTTGAATGAGTTATGTGTTTCTGTGCCACCATGATTCTAGGTGCTCAGTCTCGGGATACATTTTGGAGTCAAGGCCTGTGAGGGTCTTCCTGGTAGTATTGTGATGGTCTTGAAATTGGGGTCAAACCCCAAGCCCTCTGTGTAACTCTTCCCTTTCCCCAGTGGAGGTGATCTCTCTCTGCACTGTGTGGCCTAGGCTTGGGGAAGGGTGAAATGGGAAATGTGAAGCTTTCCTTCTTACCCCGTTCATTGTGTCTTTTCTTATTGTTATACTGTAATCTGTTTCTGTGGCCTTTCAATTGGTTATCTTAATTTCAGGTGTGGATAGTTGTTCATGTGTATGTAAATTGTATAACTGTATAATTCCATCATTGTGCCCTGCCATTCGTAAGTTCTCTCTTTACTTTCAGAAACATGGAAAACTTTTAACCGACCTCTGTTTCATTGGTTTAAAACACAGTAATCATTTTCAAAATGTCTTGAAGATAACTGGATACATTATTAAAAACAGGGTGTACTATTACCTGTG